ACCACATGACAGTAATGGGGACAATTCTTCCATGCTTACAATATCGGGGCTGACTCATCAACAGCCCCAACCAACAGGATTGGATCTCTTGAGCTGCCCAGGTGAGGTGCAGGGCCTGCCCTCCTGAGTGTTGCAGCTGGTAGTGGGCAGGGGCTGCTCCCCCTCAGGACCAGCTCTCTCACTTAGTAATGTTTGAAAATCTCATTTTCTATACTTAAGAACATTGAATCGCCAGGCGGTGGTGGCACACCTCTTTAATCCCAGCACTCAGGAGGCAGAGGCAGGTGGATCTCTGTGAGTTCGAGGCCAACCTGTTCTACAAGAGCTAGTTCCAGGACATTCTCCAAAGCTACAGGAGAACACTATCTCGAAAAACCAAAAAGAAGAAGAAGAAGAAGAAGAAGAAGAAGAAGAAGAAGAAGAAGAAGAAGAAGAAGAAGATTGAATCACTAAGGTTATATAATTTCAAAACTGAAACATAACTTGAAAATTTATTTATTGTATTTCATTGCCTTTGTAGCAAACAGGAAGAATTAGAATCCTGTGAGACATTGGTTATGTGCCTTGAATATCTGTGAGTGATTCAACAACTCTTCTGCTTTCTATCATTTCTTTCCACTATAACTCACTGTAACTTAGTTTATTTCCATGCCATTTAAGGGTCATTAAGTTGTAATGCTTCCGCTGTGCTGAAAATAAATAACTTTTGAAAGAAATTATACTCAGCAGGATTCCCTGAAGAAAGCTAGACAGTGGGGTTCTAATGTCCATGTTGGGTAGAGCACTATGAGACAAAGGGGCACTACAGATATTTATAAACACCCAGATGCTGAGAATATATTCCCTTTACTTTACTTATTATTCTCCCTATTTTAGGTTCATATAGGAAATTTTTTGAAGTATAAACATTTAACTTTTTAAGTTCTTAATAAATATGTACTTCTCATAAAATAAAGTAGAACTTAAAATTAACATTTACCTAAAATTGATCATACAATTAATAACAGAATATTAGTATATTGTTAGTGGGAAGTAAACTACAAAATAAGAGAGAAAATACATTACAATAAGTTATAAAAAATACAAGAGTAGGATTATGAGACACACTAGTGGAGAAAACATCAAAATTTAAATTTTAGTTTCCCCCTACGGCCTATGACCTCTGTGTCTGCCATGGACTTTTTTTTTTTGAATGAATTTACAATACCAATGCCAGGTGTAGATTCCCTCTTTTGGAGTGGGTCTCTAATCTAAATAGAGAGCGGTTGGTTACCGTCAGATATCCCTGCCACTATTGCACAAGTGGGCACCTCCTGCCTGCAGGTTGGTATTGTAGTTCTTAGGGATCACAGCTAAGTAGGTAAATTGATGCCTCCCTTTCTTCTTCCCCAGCTGACCTCATAGCCCCTTCCTGCACTGTAACAGCTGGCTGGCAAAGAAGGGCTTCAAGCTTGGTTCTACCTCATTTTTCTATTTCATACAACTAGGGTAGGTGGTATATTCAGCTACTGGATCTTACCGTCTTGTCATTGTGGACAACCAAAAAACATGGCAAGAGCTTGTTTTGCTAGGGGGCCTTTCCTAACCAAGTCCTCATAAGGAAATGAAACATACCTGGCGCTGAGTTCTTTGTTTAATAACCCACAGCTTTTAGGAGGAGCTCTTATAAGCCATTCAGGGCATCTCCATTCCCCAACATTTTGTTTGTTTGTTTGTTTGTATATATGAATTTTTAGGTTGATTATAAGATAGTAGCTTCCATATAGTTTTTTTTATATATTGCCTTTTTTCTTTACTTATCCCCTAGTGTTTCCTATCCTGCCAGTTTCTTAAATTCTCCATTCCCAGGATTGCACCTCTCTACTTTCATATCACCTTTGCTTTAGTATCCCTTCTCCCTTAAAATATCCCTCTCCCCACAGCTTCTTTCTAGACTTCTGAGCTCTACAGGAACTCCACGCTGAAGACACAAAACCAGAGATTCAAATGCAGGGATACAAACAGCATGTGCTTTTCTGTGCCTGGGTCACCTCACTTAGTATAACTTTAACAGTTTCCTCTATTTTCCGGCCAATTCCATCTATTGTGTACATGTTACACCTTTTTTATTATCCACTCATCAGTTGTTGAACACCTAGACTGATCCATTTCCTGTTATTATGAATACAGTAGCCATAAATATGGATGAGCTAGTATTTCAATAGTAGGATATAAATGTCTTTGGATATATTACCAGAAGAGGAATAAACGTGTGGTAGTTCTGTTTTTAGCTTTTTGAGGAATTTCATAGATTTTCATATTGGCTACACGAGTTTGTCCTACAGTAACAGTGGATTTAATTCTGTTGTTTAGCTAAACTGACACAGAATCAAACCTCCTTCTAAACTCTCTCTCTCCCTTTCTCTCTCTCTTTCTCTCTCTCTCTCTCTCTCTCTCTCTCTCTCTCTCTCTCTCTCTGTGTGTGTGTGTGTTTAGGCACATAGATAATTACAATCTTAGTCAGAGAAACCTCTTTCCAGTGAACTGTGGAGATTACAGACTTAGGGTAACACAAGTAAAAGTTGAAGCGACAGTTGAGTGTTCAGCCCTAAACAAGGCATTTAATATCATCCCCTCCTAGGTTCTGGGGGCATTGCAGAAGAGGAGGTAGAAAGAATGTAAAGGCCAGAGAATAAGGGAAAGGGTTCCAAAAACACTGTATTGCCACATGCCAAATTCTGAACACAGCCATTATAATAACAACCGCTCAACAACTGCAGATGACTTCACTGGATCTGCACTGGAATGGGTGATGGCCACTCATTTCTGAACTGCCAGACTCACAGAGAGGGATAGCCTTTGCCTTTGGTTGTGTGCCCACTCGTGACCCCACCAGGCGGCTGTGATTAAACTAAGAGGGTCAGGAAACACAACCAAATCAAAGCCTTGCATCTGGGAAAGAGACAGGTAGGGGGAAATGAGGTTGATACAAGTAGCTGGAAGATAAGACCCAGCTTGCAAGAGAGTTACCAGAACACATTCCATGCTTGTATGAAATTGTCAAAGAACACAAAACCATTAAGTTTGGAGAGTCTTGATATTTTGCCAGGGGAAGCAGTATCTACACTGAAACCTCCCTGCTGAGTAGGAGTTTCATGGGGGGAAAGCAGGGCAAGCAAATGCCATGGGCAGGAACAGCTTTCTGCTTAAGAAACTGGCTGAAGGACGAGGTAGAAAGGCCAGATGATGCGGAGCTCTGTAGACGTGGCCAGCACAGAAGAGCCAGGCAGTGCACAAACTGGGGTTGAGGTGGGAAGAGACTGTGGGTTCTGCTAGGGGGATGAGACTGATTAAATTTTCTGCCTCTCTTTGTTTCCGTGTCTTCATTCATAAAACAAAGGCAGTAAATAAAGCTCTTCACAAGGGTTGTTTGCAAGTTTAGTGAGTTAAAACTTACAATTTGTTATTTTAGAGATTTGTTTTCAGAGCATATGAGATGCCTTTGCATGATATTAGTGATATCATTTTTTTTTTTTTTTTTTTGGTTTTTCGAGACAGGGTTTCTCTGTGGTTTTGGAGCCTGTCCTGGAACTAGCTCTTGTAGACCAGGCTGGTCTCGAACTCACAGAGATCCGCCTGCCTCTGCCTCCCGAGTGCTGGGATTAAAGGCGTGCGCCACCACCGCCCGGCTTAGTGATATCATTTTTAAAAGAGCACTATAGCTACTGCTTCTCCTTAACAACATTGGTGGAATGTGGGTGTTTGTCAGGCAATTTGAGTGGGTGGCCTTTTTGGGCTAGGATGTAAAGTCACATAGCCATCTGCACATCACTCTAATTTTACACGGGATAACCAACTGACCGGCGTTTAGCAACAATCTCTACTGTTAGGTATAAATTCAAATCCTGAAATGATTCTTTTTGATATGCAAACTGTCTTTGTTTCTATGTGATACCTATCCCACAGTGAGGTGACTATAAAGGCTTATCTGTAACTTGAAAAGAAGAAATTTATAATCACCTTCATCTGAACAGTTTCAGATGAAGCGTCAGAGCCGGGCTAGGCCAGTACTGAGGTTCTCCATCCAGCGTTTTGCAGCTTTATGAATTATATTGCTTTCATTCATATTATCAACTTGTGTCATATAGCTCAGTGGTTGTACTTCCTACACTTCAGTCGACATTTCCTCTGTATGCATATACTGGAATGATTTTATTTAATAAAAAAAGAACATCTCCTATGTGGATTTTAAATTTCCCTTATTAAATATTTATATTTTCAAAATGTCTTTATTTAATTGAGTGAGGTGCTTGGTGCCATTTCAAAATAACCTCAGGTGGTGGGTGTAATGACATATCAAGGATCTGACCTTTAGCATTTTAGGATTCTATTTGTCTGCATTTTCTTCTGCATTCATTTAGTCTTAATTTATATGCTCTTCCTCCATATCGCTTAATGAGTAGATGTATTTATTATAAGAATCATTAACCATAAAAATATATATCTGAATACATACCATCTGACTGCTGATTTTGCCTTCATTCATATTTCCACTGCGCGTCTGTATAAGGCTGACAGATATTTGCACAAACCTCATTCATTCTCATTAAGGACTTCGATAGGCCCTGGATCTCCTAAACTGGTGTCCACTCTCTTCTCACATCTTTGCAGTCAGCTTATTATACTTTTTATTTACCTAGAGATACTTTATTTTCTAGTTCTGTGCTATTCCTTTAAAAAGAAAATTGAATGTAATATTTACACTGACATAATTAAATTAACATTTTATAGCATCTTTCTGTGTGCTCTGATATCACAGATAACCAGTTGTCTGCATAGCTCTTGGCAAGTAACAGAGTTACAGAACAATGATCAATTATAATAATCTGTTATAAAAAAACCTATTTAGGTATTTCTGTATTGATTTTTAGAAGTGGGGATTCCAAATGAATATTTTTTATTAAAGAAATGATTGAACAGTCAGCCTAGATATTTATAATTGTAATTTTATGTTTTCTCAGTTTGCACAAATCATTATCTCAAGAAGAGAACTTGAAGGATCAGTTTAACCATGCCCTTAGTACCTATGAAGAAGCCTTGAAAAACAGAGAGAGCGTTGTTTCAATCACTCAACAGCAGAACGAAGAACTGGCCACCCAACTTGAGCAGGCTCTGACTCAGCAAGCAAACATGGAATTACAGCTTCAGTGTGCTCTTGAGGTCTCCCAAGCAGCCAATGAAAAAGTTCAGAAGTAAGTAAATAAAAGCATGAAACATTAAAAAAAATCAAAGCAAAACAACTTTCCTTTGGAAACCAAACAATATCTAGTTTTTGTTTGTAATACTTACTAATGCTTTAAGGCAAAAGTGAACAAAATGAACTTTCTAGGTTACATATCACATCCTTTTTGATATCAAAAAAATTGTTTTCTTGAGACTTACTGTTACTATAATATTGGGAAAAATTGTTTATAATAAGTGGGCTTGACCAATCAAGGGAGACCATGGTGCTTCAATCATCGCACACCCCACACTGAGAGGCAATGGTATTCGCAAAGACAGACATGTTGCCACGGGCTGTACTCACTGAGCCTCACTGTCATATTTATGGAGTTGAGATCTTCTGGGACCTTGGTCGCTGAGGCCTCTCACTGCACTGAACCCGTACAGAGAAATTAGTTTTCCTGTGTTGTTCTTTAAAAGTATTCAGTGCAGCCTTCAGAGTGCATAATTATATTTGTTTATTTTAATGGTTCTTTGCATTTTTATTAAAATTTAGCCAAAGCTGCATAATCAACTGGTCCTTAAGACGGTGCACAGAATGCTAACACTTCCCCAAGCAAAGACGTCCGTTATTAATTTATGGAACTTGAATCTTGTAGCAGCGCTTTCTGAGGAAGCTTTATGGACTAGGGCTTGTCAACCCATCCTTTTGTATAGTGGACAGCACACATCCTCACTCACAAATTTAATCACCTCTTGTTGCCGGCACAGCTTTTTCCCTTCATCTTGTTTGTTTCTTTATTTTCAATACTAAATCCTATGCACAAGTAGCAAGGCTTGTTACTTCCTTTAACTTCCTAGTTGAAATAAGTGGTCTCAATGATTTCCCCAGCATCTCTAAAACTATATTTAAATTGATAACCCAAACTCAAGTGAATCTGGGCAAAGCCATTCTGGAATGGTTTAGGGTTCCACACTTTAATCTTTGCTGACAGTGTGTCTTGAAGCTTTTAATTAAGTCCTGTGCATTTTCTGTATAAAAATTAGATTCAAATTCAATGAGTCATTATATATCTAGTTTTTTTCAAGTACATTAACAAGCTAAGAATGTTGTGATATATAAATGGGTAATATATTTTATTGTAAATCACAATCAGTAACTTGGACATTATGATATGATTTAATTCTGTCTGTACAGTCTACAGAGAATTATAAATTTAAATTTTTTAATGTGTAAGCACTTCTTTGTTATATGACTAAAATTCCCTAAAACATTGGTTTCTTGAGATCAGTTAGGTTTCAAAAAATGTTGGAAATGTCACCAGCTAACATGTTTAAAAAAAAAAAAGTTTTTTTTTTTTTGAATACCGGAAAGTGGGAAGATCATCATTGTTAGCTCATGTTATTAAACTGGGTAGTTGTAACTACTGAACAAAATTATGTCCTTTTTATTTTACACATTAACCACAAACACATAAAACCTTTATAATGGAATTCTACCAACCTGAGGATCATTTTAACATGATTTAACACTACAACATGACATTTTATAAGAGCTAACTATTGAAATTACTTCTCAAACCTTTTATTCTGAGTTCCAACAAGACCTATTTGAAGTATTGCGGGATTTCTTTTATATATTCTGTTTATTTTTATAGCTACAAATTAGGCAGTTTTTATCTTCATCATGGTTGCTTGAGCAGCAGTCTGTGCATTCTAGGGGGTTTTAGGAAGGTTCTCCTCTGAAAAGACCACAAATAGAACTGTATTAGATGGGCTTAGGATGCTCTATACAGTCTAGTTTTTCACTGAGGCAAATTCTTTGAAAATATCTAAATACATTTTACAGTATAAAATTTGAACAAAAAAAGTCTTTTTTCTGTTCACAACCAAATTTCTTGAGTATATGATCACTAATCATTGTTTATTTTTCAATACCTATATATGCTTCTGGAGTTCATTACATTCTTGGCAACTGGCTAAAACTGTTCTCTTTAAGATTAAAAGTAATTTTCTAATTCCACAGCCCACGGCACATATTTACCATATTCTTATTATAAACTGATGCACAACCACAATAAAAATAAAGATGTACACTCATGATTAGCAATAGAACATAGCAATTTCAACACTTACACTTTGCATTTAAAAATGTGTAAGTGTGCACTTGGAGTTTACTGTGAAGCGTCACGCTGATATTCACAGTGGCATGCCTTCTTCAGCAGTGTTGTAGGAACTAGATGGAATGAGACGTGCAGAACTGTTATGCAATCCTGTTCTGTGCTCCCTCCTCGTGTTGTCCCCTCTCTACTGCACTGTCTATCCATTCCTCAGAACGGTTCTGCCTTTTCAGGACTAGATGCCTTTGCAAATGTTGATCTCTCTTTGTGGAGCCCTTTGCCTTCCCTGCCAGCCTCAAGAACATTGTGCATCCTGTGAGAGTCAGTGCAGCGCTGAGCATAGGAAAATGTGGGCTCAGTGTTAAATCAAGTAGCTCTGGATTTCAATCCCTGATCCCTACTAATTGCTTAAGAGATTTACTTACTCCATAAGGAAAAGTTTCTAGATCAGGTTAGAAATAATACTGGTTTCATATAATGCCTTCTTATGAAGAAAAATTGTATAATTTATTATACAATTATAATATAAATGCCTAGTGCGGTGCCAGAATATTATAAAATGTTGTATTTTTAATAACAGCATATCCATTAATATAAGACCAATTCTACCACATTTTCTCCACAAAGTTGTCATTATTTCCTAAAAAGAAAAATGTATTCTCTGTTTTTCCATAGTATTTAGGGTTCTTTTTGATGTATTATGGAATCTTCTGGTCTACAATATGCCCAGATATAGTTACTGAACTATATATTTATATGCTTTTGTTTCTTTCCTGCTGGACTCTATATTGCTTGGTCGTATAAGTTCTTAGGACATATAAGCCCTAAAATTCTACATGATACTTCCTACCTATTGAATGTCAAATGAATATTAGGAAAACTTGTGTAAAAAACTTTGAGCTAGAAAAAAAAAAACATTCTGAGTGAGGTAACACAGACCCAGAAAGATGACCATGGTATGTACTCACTCGTAAGTGGATACTAGATTCAAAGCAAAGGATAATGAGCCTATAGTCCATGACCCTAGAGAAGCTAAGTAACAAGATTAACCTTAAGACTAACATATATAGATCCACCAGGGAAGGGGAAATAGACAAGATCGCCTGGCAAAATTGTGAGCATGGGGTAGGGGAGAAGGGAGGGTAGAACAGGAAGAGGATGGGAGAAGGGGAAGGGAAATGAAAACTTGAGGGAACAGGATAGTCCAGATGGAGGGACAGGGATGAGAGCAAGAAACAAGATATTTTGATTGAGGGAGCTATTATGTGGTTAGCAAGAAACTTGACATTAGAGAAATTCCCTGGAATCCACAAGGCTCACCCTAGCTAAGACATTAAGCAATAGAGGAGAGGGTGCCCAAACTGGGCTTGCCCTGAAGTCAGATTGATGAATATCTTAAATGTCACCATAGAATCTTCATCCAGAAACTGATGGAAACAGATGCAGAGACCACAGCAGAGCACTGGGCTGAGCTCCCAAAGTCCAGTTGAAGAGTGGGAGGAGTGAGAATATGAGCAAAGAAGTCAAGACCATGATGGGGACACCCACTGAAACAGTTTACCTGAGCTAATGGGAGCTCACCAACTCCAAACGGACAGGGAAGGAACCAGCATAGGACCAGACTAGACCCTCTAAATGTGGGGGACAGTTGTATGGCTGGGGCAGACTGCAGAGCCACTGGCAATAGCTCCAGGATTTATCCCTACTGCTTGTACTGGCTTTTTGGGAACCCATTCTCTTTGGATAGATCCCTTGCTCAGCCTAGATATAATAGGGAGGGTTTTGGTTCTTCCTCAAAGCAGTGTGCCTTACCCTCTCTGAGGAGTGGATGAGGTGAGGGAGGGAAGGTAGAGGGAGTGGGACGAGAGAAGAGAGTGGGAACTGGGATTGGTATGGAAAATGAAAGAACATAGTTTTCTTTTTAAAAAAAAGTAAATAAAAAATCTGCCATCACAATGAAGTGCTCGAAAACACAAATAAGACTATATTATTCATTCTTCAGGCGAGGGACATTTAGGTTGTTTCCAGGTTCTGGCTAAGGAAAATGTGGTACATTTACACAATGGAGTACTACACAGCAGAGAAAATAACAACATTTTGAAATTTGGCAGAGCTTGAAAATATCATATTGAGTGAGGTAACCCAGACCCAGAAAGACAATTATCAAATGTACCTATTCATAATTGGTTTTTAAACATAAAGCAAAGAAAACCAGCCTACAAATCATAACCCCAGAGAACCTAGACAACAATGAGAACCCTAGGAGAAACATACATGAATTTGATCTACATAGGAAGTAGTAAAAGAACAAGATCTCCAGAGTAAATTGGGGGCATGGGGAACATAGGAGAGGGTTAAAGGGGAAGGGAGAGGCAGGAAGGGGAGCAGAGAAAAATGTAGAGCTCAATAAAATCAGTAAAAATTGTTACTTTGACAAAAAGATATTATTTTTCCCTAGTAATCTCTCAAGTATCCTTCACTCCCTACAAGGTAAAGCACTAACACCTTAACATGACATATGAAGCCAAAAGTAGGCCTTCCCTCATTGTTCTAATACTCTTCCTGTGATAGGCGTTTTTAAGATTTCTCTTTCATGCTGGAGAGATGGCTCAGTGGCTAAGAACACTTTGTCTTGCAGAGGGACCGTAGTTCATTTGCCAGCACGCTCACAAGAGCTTTCAATCACCTGTAACTCTGTCCCAAGAGATCCAGCACACTCTTCTGACCTCTGCAGCAGCAGGTACATGCATTGTACATAGACATATGTGCAGGCCAAATGCTCAACACACGTAAGATGAATGAATTTTAAAAGAGGGTTTTTTTCTATTTAATCATTATATTCATGATTCTTTTATAGTTTATTCGTTTTAGTTGAGATATACATTTTTTAGCACTTCCCTTCCTTCCTC